TTAAGAGGATCTGTTGCACTTACCCGTTGTAGGCGATGCATCGCGACTGCGCTGGGTCTCCGAGGTGGCCTTGCTGGATGCATTGCTGCCGCCAGCGCTGGGCTCCTTGTCCATGCTGTTGCGCGTCGATACGGACGAGGCCTTGATCTTAGCCAGCGGCATATCCGCCTCAGCCTCGGCCTTGATACTGGCAGCAGCTGCTGTTGTTGCTGCTGTGGACGAAGCAGCTGATGTTGCAGCTGCTGCTGCTGCTGCTGCTCCTCCTCCTCCTGCTCCGGCTGATGTTGATGCTGCTCCAGCTGCAGCTGTCGCTGCGCTGTTCACATTGCTTGTATTGAGCGCTGCTGTTGCGACTGGGCCAATGCTCGATACGGACGATGATTTCTCCTCGTATTTCTCCACCAGACTCTTGACCTTGCCGCTGTTGGCAGCGGATGCTTTGCGTTGTTTTTTGACCGGCTCCACAGCCACGCTGGACTCGCTGGTGTTCTCCGATTCCTCAGTGGCCGACTGCGAGGCCGTTGAGGCGGCGCGTACGGGCGTTGCAGTTGCTGCACTGCCGCCACTACTACCAGTTGCTGCTGTGGCGGCAGTGGAGGAGGCGCCACTGGCGGCCACTGTGGTCTGATTGGGCATCGCCAGTTTGCTAATGGTTTCTATTTTCGTGGTCTCCACCGGCTTGGGTGAGGCCACCGAATTGGCACGCACCAGACTGCGCCCCTTGCTGCGATTCGAGGCACGAGAGGTCATCAGCATGGAGCAGCCGAGCTTGCGATGAAAGTCCCCATAGGGCTGAAGAAATTTCTTATAGGCCTGCTTCACCAGATTCATGACGCTGAGCGTGCAGGGCGTGAAGCCCAGCCGCACGGCAATTACTTTCCATTGGTTTTTGGCGGTGACGCGATTGTAGCCGCCACGCTTCTGCACCGCCCGGAACAAACGGTACAGATCCACGTCGCGACTCTGTATCGATGGCACCTTGTTCAATGGTGTGCCCCGATCGTCCATATACTTGTACAGTTGGGCAACAAAGCGATCCTTCTCCTCATGTGGCTCGTCGTCCGACGAGTCCGAATCGATTTCGCCCTCATCGTCGCTTGTCAGATTGGATAGGCCGAACAGCGAGTCGCGATCCCAGTGGGCTGGTAATTTGCTGCTTTCGAGGAATTCGAAAGCTGCCTTCACAGCGGGCACGTCCTGTTTGCTGGCCATTTCAAGTGTGAATTCGTTCGCTTCCTTCTTGGGCACTGTGTAGTAGCGGCCATCTTTGAAGGAACGCACCAGATACTCGTCCTTGACGCGTATCCGCACAGTAGCCTATTGATTGTAATTGATTCGATTAAGATTGTAATTGGAAATTGAATTAGGCTTTGACTTACCTGTTTGCTGACCTGCGCTGTGGGCGCCACGACGAGGGCGGGAAACCATTTCTCTTTGTCCTTCTTCTTGGACTCGGTCTCCACGCACACCACTTTGCCAATATGCTCCTCCTTCTCGTTGACCACTTCCTTTGCATCGCTTTCGTCATCATCGTCGGAGCTGCCATCGTTCAATTGGCCACGACGACGACCCCGACGACCGCCCACAACCGGGTTGCCGAAGTGTTCGGGATGTGTCAGCGGCAGCTGATCCAATGTTTCACTCTCATTGAAATGCCTGCCACTCTTCAGACAGAGCGCAGTGCGACGCAACGTTGTGATGTCGCCATCGTCAAAGACGACTGTATATTGAGAACAATCCTGGATTTTAGTTATGGTCGCCTCCACATTCTCCTTGCGATCCGGATGACGGACTTCGACAACGGCGCCGACGCGCAGCTGTCCAGGTGGCGCCTTAATGGCATCGTCCGATACAATGCCCGAGCCGAGACCCTGTTTGTAGGCGACCTTCACTTTGATGTTACGAACCACTTTACTGACTTTGGCCTCGCAGAAGGCTCCCTTGTACTTGGCGCTCACCTCGGTGCCCACGGGCAGCGATGGCGGATCGTCCACTTGCTGCAACATACGCATTGTTGAAATCTATCCAAATCCATTGAAAATTATCAAATGCTTAACACTCACCTGCATATTTTGTAAATACCGTTCGTAATTCGTGTAATCCGAAACTAACGCCACTTTTATACAGTATTAATGGTGGCTGTACATTTTAACTAGGTGTTTATGTTGTTGAGCTGCTATCAATTCCCTTCAAAGTCCACCACCTCCTCCACCTACTTTTTGGTGAACTATTTTTCGCACGCCTTGCCGCGTTGTTCTTCTATTTGTTATAATTTCTCTTTTCTTGGTATATGTTCACTGCTACACGATTTGTATATAATGCATGTTGTGTCCAAGTGTGAATTCGATGTTTTTACAGCTTGCAAATTATTTTGGCGCAAGTTTAGGTAAAATTTTCATTCTCTCTTTTGCGTTGTTTAGCGTCTTAGCCAAATTTTAGAGATGTACAAATGTACATGGACTTTCCGATTAGTCAATATACTGTTTTAAGCAATCGATTCGCCGTAGCAGCCCTGCGCTAACGATATACAAATGTGGCCACCAATTGCCCACTACACGCTGTAATACGGCAACGCTAATGAGTGGCAACGCTATATCATATTTGTTCTGTAAGGCCGCGCATGTATTTGAATTTACGCTTAAATATGTGCATGCGCGGCCTTAAATGCAAAATGCGTGTAGTATTATAGTATAGTATAGCATAGTATAAGAATTATTGTTTACATGCTTGAGATACATTTAATTTGTATGTGGTCTGACTTTTGTTGTCTGTGGAGAGAAATACGTAAATCAAAATATGTATTATGTACATAAACATGGGTATATGCATGCTTTAACTTATGCAACTTAACAAATTGCATAGCAGATGAAAAGTAAATTTATTTAACAGATAATTTGCTATTTTGTACGTTGCAAAGTGCACAACTAAATACGCAACTAAGTTTGCCGTAACTGTTCAATTAGCCGCTTTTTCACGCGTACTAATTGAACTTCTAGTGAAATCGGCGAAACCAATTATACATACATATGTACATATGTGTGTACGTACGGGGAAGTGAAAGAATGAGGTAGAGAGAGACACAGAATAAGCAAAGCAATGAATGTTGAGCGAGGAGTCAATTTTTGGTGTCTCTTGTTATTTTTAGCAAGATTTGAGCTTACATAGTTTTGCATGCATACATGCATTGTTGCGTGTGTGTGTGTGTGCGTGTGCGTGTGAATGTGACACGAATTGGAATCACATAGCAATTAGCTAATGTTTTTTATGCTATTTTTGCTGTTGTCGCATGTTTTGGCTAAAACTTTGCGTGCGCAGCTAAAACATTGAAGTTATGATTATACAGGAACGATATGCAAATCGACAGTGGCTATTAAAATGGAAAAATATCGCTTTACTTGATTGGAAAAGCAAGCATGATTGCACAAAGAAGAGACAAACTAACCTAAAGCTATAGCATTTAATTGATAATGAATATGTTTCTTTAAACTATAACACTGCAAATTGGCAGCAGATATATGCACATACATACATATATATGTTTGTATGTATTGTATGCATATTCCAGGATTAATTGACTTCTGCGCTCGATGCTCATTGCACCCAATGTGGTGGATTATTAATTTTGCCCATCTCCATTAAAACGATATTATCTGTAGCTTGAGCGCATTCGTTCTCTATTGTATTTTACTTATCTGAATGACTTTTACAATACGTCTGCCAGCCATGGCAGCCATTCAAGCCAACCAGCCCAGCCGCCCACATAGCACGCGCCATCAACCAAGGGACCGCCCGCAGTCCGTTTGCTGCGTGCGCACAAACAAAGGCCAATAATTTCTGCTGCTGCTTTTCAATTATCACTTGCAAAAAAAATGAAAGAAAAGCATGCAAAAGAAATAAAACAGAACGAAAGGCAAATAAAAAGTGTAAATGGCTCAGGCATAGAAGCGTTAAAGTAAAACCAGTTTCCTTACACCAACCCAGCCCCTAAGGCAACCAAAGAGTAAGTAATTAGTGTGCATTCCAGTGCTTGGAATGGTGCGTGCCTTTGCATGTGTGCGTGTGTGTGTGTGTGTGTGTGTCTGTGTGTGCGCTCAACATTTACTTTTCCACTTCGTTTGCGACAATCAAATGTAACAAAAGCAAAAATAAGTAACTGCAACGGCCTGGAGCAGAAGGAGCAGGCAGCACAGGAAACGTCTACCGTTGCACCTGTGCAGCATCTCGCTCTGACAGGCGCGCACACACCCACACACTCGCACACCATCTCCCTCCCTCTCTCTCTCTGAGTCTGTCTCCATCTGTCACTCTCTTGGCATTTCAGTTTGCAGCATCATCGTCATGAAACGTGACATTGAATACAATACGTCAAGGCAGGCACTCAGCACTGCCACTGAGACTGAGACTGTGGGCGAGCCTCAAACGTCCTCTGCCCAACCATGCTAATCTCTCTGTAATTAAGACTGTCACTCAGTCCAGGCAGCTCTCCACTCTTATCGTACGCGATGGGCCCGGCCCAAAGTGTCAATACGAAATGGCTTTAATTTGCAGGTGCTTGTGCTCCCATTTGCCAGCCGGACGGCCTCACCGGCTCACGGCCAATGCCTCTCTATCAACGAATGGGCGACTGGCCAGCGCCAATTTGCGCTTTTACTAATCCTTTCAGCTATTCAACTTCAACTTGATAGTAAATATTAAGAGCTCAGATGTAGTATATACGGCTAAATGTGTAATAATTGAAATAAATAAATGAAAAGAAATACACAGTACGCAAATAAAATTTAGGCACAACAATCTCACAACTAAATTCTATAAGTTAAAAAAAAAAAAAAAAAAAAAAAGCGAAATCAACATAATAGTGGATATAATATATTTCAATGGATATTTTCTTTCTTTCCTTCTTTTCAGTAACTTATTTCAATACAAAATAGATTAAAGTACATTTCAAAAAAAGTTTCTTTAAACTACAAAAAAAAAAAAAAAAAAAAAAAAAAAAACGCCTAAATTTACATTCATATTTAGTTCGTCTTTCATCAATAGCGAGGCATACTCCTTAAAATATTTTAAAATTAAATTTTTGTCGAGGTAGTCGCTTTACAGTTATAGTTTTTGATTTAAAATTCTTTTCTGCTAAAAAAAAAAAAAAAAATAACAAAAAAAAAAAATAATAATAACCAGCTTCTTCTTCGTGATTATGTTTCATTATACATAAGCATATATGCATGATCTACCTCTGAAACGAAAAATATGAACAATAATAAATTATGTAATAATACTGCAAATTAATAATAATTTATGTATGTATTTTCTTACCGTCTCAGTTAATTCTTTTATTCATAAGATCTTATTGCTCGGCATCGCTAGCACTCGATAGTCTGGTTCGTTTGGCCGGCGGAGATTGATGTTCATCAGTGGAAGCGGATGATTCAACAGGATCATTCTCATCATTGGTCCCATCGATGTCGTTCTGTTCCGTATCAATCACGTTTACATTCTCATCATTCTCATTATAATCATTAGCAATCTCGGCCTTTTCGTCATTTTCATCATTTTCGTCATTTTCGTTAATCTCTTGAGTGCCAACTTCGTTGACATCTACATTTACATATTCAACGTCATGAACATCTTCATTGACAATTATAACCTCAACACGCTGCGGCATTGTATTTAGTCCGTTTGATGTCTGGGCCTCGCAATTCTCTGTAGCTGTGGAATACCAATACCAGCATTGTTCGTCATTTCCATACCCATGCCACATCATGTTCACCCGCTCCCCGTTGCCATCATATCCCCCCACTTACCTGGCGTTGGATACAATTCTTCAATGATTACGCCTGGGCGTTCATTGTCGCTGCTCAGCTCATACACGGTATCCACTTGCGAATCTGCTTTGTTCTCATCGGTCTCGGTCGATCTATTGTCAGCTTCTGGCGCACTTTGAGTGTGGTTGCTGTCCATGCTGTCCTCGGAACTATCAAGCATGTAGCTATCGGATAAGGTCCTATATGTAGCAACGCTATCGGCGCTATCCTCATCGCCATCATAGAACCAGCTATCTGCATGTAGTCCGCCTGGCGGCATATTGCGATAGGACACATAGCTAGCCGGTTGCTGTATGCTCAGCGCATATCCCAAGATGCTCAGATGGCCATTGCCGACTGCATAGAAGTATACACGATCGCCGTCGCTAAAGTTAAGATCCAGTGACGCTTGAGGCGTCGCAGTGCTCAGAGTCGCAACGGTAAACTTCTGGTTGTGCACTTTCAAAAACAACTTCCCACTGGCGCCAGAAGCCAGGGCAACGTTGGAAATATGCAGCGAACCGGTTACATGTTGGGTATATTTACGATATGGCTTAATGTTAACTCCAAAAAAAAACATTGAGCTTTCGTCTTCCATCTTGGAATATAATGAATCAAAATTTTCAAAAATTTTCTTTAATTGAAAATGTACGTTTCGCACACGTCGAGAACACGAACTGAATGATCTAAATTTGATTTATCGACTCACATCGAAACTAGGCAAGGCCAGAGTTGATGTTGAAATTACAATTTATCGAAGTAAATTGCTCTAGAAGCTGCTAAGCTTAGTGGCAGCTCTAGCACATTACGTCTGGCAATCCTCGGCTCGGCCGCCATATTTTTACAATTTTCATTTTGCATTGTCTTCGCCTTCAATATTGTCAGCCCAATCAAAGGCTGGTTGATGCGCACTACGCTTTCCAATTGGACACCAATTGGGAAAAGCGCAATGAGCTTGCGTGCGCTCTGCCATTAATTACACAGGCCGGCAGATTGCGCAACTGCTGGAAGTGTCATGAGCTTCAGATGTGTTGCGATCACATTAAGTTCTTTTCACTCTATTAATACATATGCTATATTATAATCAACTCTTATGTATATATGTGTGCCTGTTTGTTTGTTTGTGTGTTTTATTTATGCATTTGCTCGCCTCAAAAATCCCATTTAGCTCGCCCTGGGAGCTGTGTGGGTTGTGTGCATAAATTTTCAGCTTGTTTTTAAATTTATATGCATTTAAATGCGTGAAGTCTCCACAATCCCCTGCTCTCCCTCTCTGCTGTGTGTGTGTATTTATATATCCAAAGTTTGTTAGAGTGGCTATTACATTCATCAAAGTCTTCTTATGGCTTTGCAGCAGTCGAAACAAAAGGCACTTTTGTTTTATCGCTGTCGAAGTCGGCGTCGTCCAACTCTTTGCCCAACTGATGTAATAAACTGCCTCGCCTGGCACCGCCCTGGCACTTTACTTGAGGTAGTACCAGCCAGCCAGCCAGCCAGCCAGCCAGTCAGCATCTTAGCTATTTATAAGTACATCTGTCCAACTGCAGTTGCAACCGTTGCAGTTGCAACTACAACCGAATCGGGGTACTTAATGCTGCTGCTTGGAATCTTCATTAGCACTTGAGAGCGTGCGCGCGCGCTGCTCAACTTAAGCAGAGAAATTAATGCATGATGTACTCGATGCTGTTGTGGCTTGTTATTAGGATACCCTGTAAAGGCTTCTCTGCAGCCAGATCTATGCTACGCCAAGTGTGTTTTAGACATAATTAAGAGATATTATCACAGATAAAAAGAGGGATTGAGGGCTTACATTTTGCTTACATAACTTTTTCTTGGCATACTCGCTTAGCAAGTCAAATGAGCATATTGGCCAATAAATAATAAATAATGAATAATAGAAAATTCATTATAAATAATAAATATTAATATTGATATTAAACATTAATAATAAATAAAAATAATAAAATATAAATACTAAATACAAAATAATAAATATATATATTTGTATTTATTATTTTTCATAAAAATATATATTTTTATTTATTATTTTTAATAAAAATATATATTTTTTTTTTATTTTTAATAAAAATATGTATTTTTATTAATTTAGTATTTATTTTTATTATTTTTATTTATTATTGATTTTTTATATTAAATTATATTATTATAAAAATTTTCTTAAATTAATCTACGATATCTAGAATAAAAAGAAATATTCTTTATATAAAATTTAGCAATCTATTTTTGAATTGTTCAGTTATTTATTTTGTGGATAGGTTTTTTTTTTTTTTTAATATTTTGCATACAAATCAATAGGGTATCTAGAAGTTGAGCAAGATATTTAAAATTAACGTATTTAATTATTTATAAATAAAATTTAAAGCATGTACCCCTGTTGATTTATATTGAAGTTGAGTTTGGGTTAAGATTTTCTTTTCAAAGAATTTAAAATTATAATATTTTTTAGACAAAATTAAAAAAAAAAAAAAAAAAAAAATGTTGCATCTAAAAGTTAAGCATGCTTTTCTTATATAACATTTATGTTTTAAATTTTGTACAAATAAAATTGAACAAATTATTCATTAAAATCTACAGGGTATTTTTTGATAAAGCAAGTTTTAGTTGTGTTTTTTATTGTTGTTGTCGTTAATTTTGTGGCCTTTCTTGTTGCCGTAGCTGTAGCTGTAGCTGTTGCTGTTACTGTTGGTGGTGCTGGTGGTGTTGATGGTGGTGCTGCTGTGTGGTTATTGCTAGCAATGTGTCTGGGTCTTTGAGGGCCATTGACACGGAATGCTGTTGGAGCTGCCTGGCTTACGCACTGGCCAGCGTTGCGCCTGGCATCTGCCAAGCCATAAACTCGGTACCCATAGCAACTGAAATTATCCATAAACGAATGCAAAAGCAGCAACTCGATGGAGATGCGTAGCATCAAGCCATGTGCAACCAGAAGGCATCCAGCACTCGGGCATTCTTCGGTAGTTCGCTCGGGTCACTGAGACGAAGAGAAGCTCTGATGAATGAGGAGATCTATATATGGGCATGATCTATGATTTATTAATGATGTTGATATTACTTTGTTTTTGTACGGAGTATTTTAATATCGCGAGCATGTTGATAATGAGAAGTCGAGCAACGGGCTCTTATAATAGGCAGAAGGAGGCGTGGTTAACTTTATGAAGTTATCTATAGAGTTTTGATAAAGATGGCACGTAAGTTAATCTAGTATAATCTGACCGTGCGTCTCTCATATCTTTCGTTCGTCCGCCCATTCGTCCGGCCGTACAATTTTTTGTCCCTGTCCTTCCGTTCGTCCGTCCGTCCTTTCGTCTGTGCGAAACTCTTGACGCGTTCTCAGTAAATTAGAGCAGCTTAAAGGGTATTCCCAGGTGAGCAGCTAATATACCCGCTTGCACATTGCGGACGAGTATATGCAAATTCAAGAGAAATGCTGCTTTCTGCCGAACAGAAGCTGATATCTATTTCGTCTATTGCGCCTGCTTCATTACCGATGAGTTGATTTGGTAAAGGAGCTAGCCCAAGGCTCGATCCCATTAGTGCTAGACTTGGCTATAAAGAGATGCAGCTTGCAGCTTGCATGTTGCACGTTGCATGCTGATTGACAGGGCAACTCATTAATAAGCCGCCGTTGCTGCTGGTGGTGCGGGTGCGGGTGGTGCTGTTGGTGCTGGTGGTGCTGCCGTGTGTCATAATCGCGACAGAGCAGAAGTCGAGCTGGATAACCAGGCGGCAGCTAAGCCAGCCCGCTCGACCGCAGCCACGCACGTCCATTCGCATTGTGAGATTTATGGTTTGTTCAAGTTCTTGTGGCCTCTGTGTCAGACAGTGCTCGTCGGTTTGGGTGGAAATTGTTATATCTGGCGCTTCGCTCTCAATTCGGTTGGCTGTCAAAAACTGGCAGCGCACACACGCATCCACGCAGCCTGGCTGAAGGAGCGATTGCCACCTCAAGGATGGGCGCTGCTGGGTTTGACTTTTCTCTGTCTAATGATGGGAAATACGCCATGCGTAGCTCTGACAGCGGATGCGGTTGGGCCAGGGGCGCGCAGGGGAGGGGAGGCTAAGCAGCTTATTACTGCTGCGCGTTGCCAGGGCTACCGATCACAATCGTATTTAGCTAGTTTCCCCATGTTCCAAAAGCTAATTTGCTTCTATGCAAAGTGTGTGGCTGCATGAACGGGCACGTATTTCGATTCCTTTTCAAATCTATCCACACACACTCCATAGCAATAAACGCCTCCCCGCCCCAGAAGCTAGATGCCCTTTGCCGTTAGCTTTGGCTGTCAGCGCTTCGTTTGACACGTGAAATAGTTACAGAGGGTGGCGGGAGAGACAGAGAGAGAGAGAGAGAGAGAGAGAGGGGGGAGAGAGGGGCTCAGCGTGGAATATAACGAGAGAGATATAAGATAGAGATATAAGTGTGTAGAGACCAAGAGTGTGAGAGGGCAGAGGGACAGGGAGAGAGATAGAGAGAAAGAGAGAGAAAGTGAGACGGAGGAAGAGTTAGTAAGAAAGAGAAATATTTAGTGAAAGGGAGAAAGAAATAGATAGAGAAGGAGAGTGACAGAGAGAGACAGAGGTAATGAGAGAGAGAGAGAGAGAGAGAGAGAGAGAGAGAGAGAGAGAGAGAGGGAGAGAGATAGAGGTAGTGAGAGCAAGAGTAAAAGATAAATGATGCAGATAGAGAGTGAAAAAGAAAGTAAATGGAGCTAGATAGAGGGGAATGGAGAGAGAGAAAGAAGAGTGAGAGCTAGAGATACAAGAAAGAGAGAAAAAGCAAGAGAGAGAGAGAGAGGGAGTGAGATTAAAAAATAAGTAGATATACATGAATAAAGATAGGTAGATAGACAGATAATGGATAGATCTAGAGTGAGAGAGTGGTTAGAACAAGGGGAAAGGGAAACAGTGGAGGTAGAGAAAGAGATCAAAAGACTGCAATAGACAGGAGAGATACAATAAAGTAATGAAAGAATTGAATTGTATACTAAGTAAAATATAGAGAAAGGGAACCACGGAGGTGGAAATATGGAGAGAGAGAGAGAGAGAGAGAGAGAGAGAGAAAAAGAAAAGGTATATACTACGTATAAAAGGCAAGTATTTGAGATCTCCAACAAAGAAGTACTGAGAGCCCTATTATTCATAATTATCGTTCATAAATATCGCACAGAAATAGTATGTGCTAATAATATCTTCACTCGTCTATTAAGTCGACGACAATTGAGCCTGAAATAGCAGCGAGGAACTGTTGCTGCTGGGCTTTGTCATGCTCGGAATTCAAGGGGATCCTGAGAAATGCAGGGAAGTCGTCCATTTACATACTTTGGGCATTCAGCTCCTATACTACATTTTCTATTTTCTTGTTATTTCTGCTCGCATTCGCTTTGCATATTTCGCAGTTAATGGGAATGTGAGAATTGTTCTCAGAACTCTCAGAGCTTTGCTTATGCAATTCTCCGACAATTGGCTGGCATTTTCGCTATTCGAGCTAATTGCAATGCGTGCCGCATGACTTTCTGGCATGGCCGTTTATTTATGCTGCATGCAACAATTGAATATCGGAAAAGCACATAATAGAAAATTCTTGTAAATTATCACGCACTCGCCTTGCACATGGCCACTCGCCCGGCCATTGTTCTGGGCCACGTTTGCTGCCCACATTC